TGATAGGGGATTCCTGAGGAGGACTTCCTTTGCCAACCTGATCCCCTAGAAAAATGTCTGTCTGCTGTCTGCTTCAGGTTTTTTTCGTGTGTGTGTGTGTGTGTGTGTGTGTGTGTGTGTGTGTGTGTGTGTGTTTTACAAAGTGGTGTCTTTCCATAGAGATGGTAGACTTATCTGCTCCATATTCCCTCTCCTAATCCCTCTCCATCCAGGCTAACAATTTGTCATCATTCATAGAGGTAGAGTCAGCTCATTTAAGAAAGCTCCACACTTTCTAGAAGCATCAACTTATATTGTGTTTCTGAGTTAAAATCATAGGCTACAGATACAATGGACTACTATTCAGCCTTAAAGAGGAAGGAAATTCTGACAAACATTCTAGAACGTGGATGAATGTGGAGAACATTATGCTAAGGGTAATAAGCCATTCACAAAAAGACAAATAGTGTGTGATTCTGCTTTATGAGGTGCCTAGAGTAGTCAAATTCACAGAGACAGAAAGTAGAATGGTGGTCACCAGGGGACGGAGGTGGAGGGGAAATGAGTGTTTAATGGGGAGAGTTCCAGTTTAGCAAAATGAAAAGAGTTCAGGAGGTGGATGGTGGTAATGGATGCACCACAGTATAAGTGTACTTAATACCACTAAACTGTACACCCCAAAACATGGATGGAACTGGAGGGGATTACGCTAAGTGACATAAGTCAAGCAGAGAAAAACAATTATCATATGGTTTCACTCATATGTGAAACATAAGCAAGAACACAGGAGGACCACAGGGGAAGGGAGGGAAATCTGAAGCAGGGGGCGGAATCAGAGAGGGAGACAAACCATGAAAGACTCTGGACTCCAGGAAACAAACTTCGGGTTTCAGAAGGGACGGGGTGGGGGGATGGGGTAGCCAGGTGATGGGTATTAAGGAGGGCACGTGTTGTGATGAGCACTGGGTGTTATACACAACTAATGAATCATTGAACACTACATCAAAACTAATGATGTACTTACTATACAGTGGCTAACTGAACATAATAAAAAAAGATTGTTAATTTTATGATATGTAATCTTACAAAAGTAATGGAAAGACTCACAGGCTGAAATGCTTTTTGGGTCTTCTGCCTGAGACGTAATTCAATGAACTGATTGTTGCCATTCAAAAGTGACCCTCAACATTGTTTCACCCCTTGCTCAGTGCTTCCTAATATGCTTGTGTCCTTTCTCTGCCTGTTGCAATGATGTCAACATGAATGTCTTTGTTTAATTAATAGGAGGTTTATTACTTTGAGGGAGAGTCACAGGTGTGTTGCTGGTTGTGGGCTTGCTTGTATTTTCAATGTGAACAGGTTTTGCTGTTGCACAACCCAACATAGCACGCTCATGTTCCTTTCTGCCGTGCAGGGAAATATATTTTTCTTGCATCATCCTATTAAGTAGGAGCTGTACTCTGGAAAGTTATCAGTCTGAGGAGATTAAGAAAGTTTTACATCACTGCATCAGTATTGAAAGTCTTTGTCTTTCAGCGTCACGTTCAAAGTTGATATTCTCCTACATCTTGGTGGTCTATAGTCTATTCTCCCCTCTCCTTAGGTTTATTATTATTATTATGACTCTCATCGTAAATCCTGTTGTCATTATTGTTGTTAATCACCAGGATCCTAATTATTTCAGCAATTAAGATTTATCATTGTTGCTGCAGCTGCTGTTAGAAAATCTTGAATCGACTTGCTCCATCCAGGAAGGGTGTCTGGTTTACTGAAGAGGATGATGGAGATTTCTCAAAAATACACACAAATGAACAGAGGCTTCCAGGTCACTCCTGGTGCCCTTTATAGATATGAGCATCCACAAACATTTCCAACTTTCCTTCCAGGGTCCTGAAGTGACCATTTTGACAGGGGAGGCTTGGTGAGGGCATTTTGGCCTGCCTGAGCCTCTGGGAAATATTATGGGTCACCTCTGGGACCCGTAACCACTTGTGTTTGCCTGCAAGACCCAGGGAAGCCATCCACGGTCCACCAGGCTCAACGAAAATTGTCCTAAGACCACCACGGACCCAGGAATAGATGGAACAAGCATGGGAGGCCAGGGGTGGGGTCCCCACCCTCTAGAGCCTCTGCAGTATTTCTAGGTAAGCCCCAGAACCCGGGAACTGCTGTCCCTGCCTTCTTGTGTAGTCCCATACTGGACGGGAAGTACCATGCACAACAAGGAAGAACCAATTCAGGTGCCAACCAACAGCCCCGGGCCCAAAAGCACAATCTCTTTAATCCTGACAAAAGATGGCAGAAAGGACAATAGGGATGTGGGGGCTGAGAAAGTGCTAGAGCCTTAATGTTAACCATGGCGGGGGCGCTTTGCAGGATGGAGAGTGGGGAGATGTCCTTGCATATGGCCATATTTCAAGGAGACCCATCTCCCTGGAAGACACACACACATACTCACTTACTCACACACATACATGAACTAATATTAAGTGTCCCTAAATGACGGATGGTTTTCCAGATATATTTTCACGTCCTATTACTTTTTCCTCATTAGGACATCATTCATGGAAAGAACGATATGATTCCAGGGCACCTGGGTGGCTCAGTCATTAAGTGTCTGACCTCAGCTCAGGTCATGATCCCAGGGTCCTGGGATCGAGCCCTGCATCGGGCTCTCTGCTCGGCGGGAAGACTGCTTCTTCCTCCCCCACTCCCCCTGCTTGTGTGCCTTCTCTCGCTGTGTCTCTCTCTGTCAAATAAATAAAATCTTTAAAAAAATGATATGATTCCAGGTTTACTCTAAAGAATCCAGCTTCCTTCCCCCACCTACCCACCCACCAAGCTGAGTTTGGAATGAGTTATACAATACTGCTAATTGTTAGTAATTTTTGAAACTATCTTAAGGGTACATAGAGTTTCATTTTATTTTCTCTGATTTGGGGAATGTTTCAAATAAACAAATATATAAAGCATTTGTGCATTACTTAGAAAATATGTTTATACTAAATTATTTTAAATCCACTGCTGGTTTCTTTTTGGTTGCTTCAATTAATACTTGATCCATACATCCATAAGTAAGAATGGGTTATATATTTTCCTTCAGCACCATCCAGATTTCCAGAACCATTTTAGAGTTTTCTCCCACTTTTCCCAAATGGGCAATGATATGAGTGAAAGATAATGGTTCTATATTCTAGGAAGACTAATCTACATATATTTTTTAAAGTCAAATTTCCCGGTGACATTTTTTTATTTTACTTTTTTTATTTTAAGTTTTTAATTTTTTTAAAGATTTTATTTATTTATTTGAAAGAGAGAATGTGAGAGAGATCAGGAGCAAGGGGGAAGGGTAGAGGGAGAAGGAGACTCCCTGCTGAGCTGGGAGCCGGATGTGGGACTCGATCCCAGGACCCTGGGATCATGACCTGAGCTGAAGGCAGACACTTAACTGGCTGAGCCACCCAGACGCCCTTAAGTTTTTATAATTCCAGTTAGGTAACATACAGTTACATTAGTTTCAGGTGTAAAATATAGTGATTCAACACTTCCATACATCACCCTGTGCTCATCACAACAAGTGCACTCCTTAATCCCCATTACCTATTTAAACCATCCCTGAACCCACCCCCCCGTGACATTTTTAAAGATGACATTTTCTAAAGGAATGTATCCTAAAAGGGGTTTATTTGCTTCAGTTGGTTTTGCCTCCATGATCCTCTTTCCTAGAGCCCTTGGCAAGCCCTCACTCTCAGTTCATGGTGGAGGAAGAGGCAGGAACCTGGGCAGGGTCCTAAGTCCTACTGGTTAGGAGCAAAACTTGGAATCAGAAAGGGTCCTCTGCCCACAGGCCCTACTGCTTTTGGGCATCCCACATGGCTTCACATGCCTCATCTTATCCATGTCTGAGTCTCAGGATCACCACAACCAGAAGCATTCCTGTCTCAATCCCAGGGGGCCTCTGATGGGGGTGTCAGGAGGGAGGAGGGTCTTCAGCCAATACTAGGTAGAAGCGACTCCTGCTCTCTGGGAAACCACTAAACTCTGGTGTATCCTGCCACCCCCCATTCTCACCCTGGACACTTCAGAAGAGTTTTCACTTGAACTTGGAGATCCCTGGTCCCCTTGGCCCCTCCATCAAAACACCCAATGACCAGTCCCTCTTTCATAATGATTCCTTTGATGGGGGTACAAATGCAAAGGAAAACATTCTAAAAATAGGGGAAGACGCTTCATACATAGTCAAGTGAGAGCCATCCCCCAAAATGAGGTAGGTACTTGAAATAAGTTTGCAAAGAGGCTGGATGGAGAAGGGAGGTTTGGGATGCCAGATCTAGGACTTTGGTTTGGGTTTCTTTGGGAGAAGGGACCCCACGTGGTTCATAGTCTTCAGGGAGTATGACAAAGTTGACAACGGTCCCCTGGAATCAGACTCCTGGTCTTGTTCACCCCCAGCACTGACTGAACAGCCTAGGTTGAGACAATGGGTCAAGGATGGACTATGGAATTCTGTGTGCGTAGGGGGAATATGGTTCCTTTTTTCTTGGTGAACACAATAAAACACCACCGTAGATCTGAACTACTGCAGAGGAGGCTTGTTTCTTGACCCCTCAGCTAACAGCAAGAAGAAATTTATGTGTATCCTAACCTGTGTACATACATGTGAGTAGTGTCTACCCACCCATCCACTCATCAATACATAGAGACAGAGATGTGTCTGGATAAGGAATAGTCCTCATTTATATTAAGGGGAACATAGCTTAATGGTTCATACCAGTGTTGCCATCTATAACCCGCCACACATGGACCATTCTCACCGTCTCCTCACTTGGCTCTTGCCTCCCACTCCACCTGCGAGGGAAACGGTCAGGGTCTCTCATCTGGGACACAGGGATCTGGGAGCCTCCCGCGCTGCACCCTGGTGGCCGGCAGGGGGCGCGCCGACCCGCCTCTTCCGACGTGGCGTCTCAGGCCCGCGTGGAACGCATGCGCGTCGCGCCCGTTGCCCTCGACGGCCGCGTGTGCACGAGAGCCGGAGCGACGTTACTTTGTGACTGACGGAGGCGGCGACGCTGCGGACGACGAGGGCCCGCGTCTTCGGTGAGTGACATCCCTGTGTGGCCCGGGCCCCTGGGAGGAGGCTTTTCCCCCGCGAGTGAGGGCTGGTTTTTTTATAAATAGAAAGAAACTCGTCTTCCGCCCTGCGCCGCGTGCCTTCCTCTTTCCCGTGTAGTGTTTCACCAGGACTTACTGCACCGGAGGGCCCGTTCGCTGAGGGCCTTCGGGGGCGAGATCGCAGCATGCCGTGGTCATTTCTATGGCTTCGGGATCGTTTTTGGGGGGGTGTGGACCCCAGTGCAGCTTCCGTGAGAGAGAACCGCGTGAGCGGTGCGGAAGGGACGGAACAAAATGTTGGGGTGTTCGGGCGACCCCGGGGCGCGGGAAGGGCCCGGGGAGGACACACCCGGCCGCGGGCGGAAGGGGCCCTGCGTGCGCCGCCGCTGCGCCCGCCTGTCTTCGTTGCGGTGGGTGGTTTGTTCAGAAAGTGAAAGTACTTGAGAAAGTGCTGAAAAATAGGAAGGTAGGTGTATTAAAACACGCAGCTGTATTTTCTTTACATCCAAACCAGAATGTATTATAATTTCACTTTCCAGGCGTTTAAGGGAAGTGGCCGTGTCTCTAACCTGTTTAAAATGACGCTCCTCAGCGCGTCTCCGTTCCAGACTGAAGTGTGAGCTGCTCATCGCGTGACGCGGTGACAGCCGTAGATAACTGTGAGGAAAGGTCAGGCCACCGAAAGGTCGTCTTCCGCAGGACCTCCCGGTGACAGGGGTTCTCCAATAAATCTGGAACACTTCCGAATTTGTAGAATGTTCATAAAAACTCGGGGAAGGAAAATACGGATCTCGGAAGGAGCAGTTGTACTCAAAATGAAAATACGTTTCTTCAGAACCGTTTATTCTGCCTTATTGCAGAAATACCTGAGACGTCTAAATTCTAAATTTTACTTTTAAAAAAATCAGTTATAAAACACATTCTGCTTATACTCAAATCACTTCTACATTGTGGCTCAATTATGAGAGGTCCTAATATATTTTTTACATAATTTTTTAAACATTTTTTTTTAAAGATTTTTATGGGCGGGGGGGGGGGCGGGCAGAGGGAGAGGGACAAGCAGACTGCCCGCTGAGCACAGAGCCGGATCTCACAACCCCAAGATCATGACCTGATCTGATACCAAGAGTCTGACGCTTAACCACCTGAGCCTCCCAGGCGCCCAAGAGGTCCTAATATTTTTAAACGTCTTCATTTACAGCCCTTAAGACATACCTGAATGTCCCCGGACAGATGCAAGATGGGTTGGCTTTCTCTTCTTTTGTATTAAAACATGCACACCACAGAACCCTCAGTGTGTTCTGCTTCTTGACTGTACCATAGCTATGAGAAGGAACACCTCTTCTTCTCCCATGCCCAGCCCCCATTTTAATTTCAGACATGTCCCAATGTATTTCTATCTCAGTTTTTTTTTTTAATAAGTTCAAATCAGGCACCAAGAGACCAGCTGAAGGCTCAAAAGTGCTCTTTATAAAGACCGTAATTTTTGCTTTACTTTTAAAAGTGTATCTTACCTTGTTTCACCTCATGTGGGGTGGTGCTCCAGAGGAAGGTATTAGTCAAAAGCAGCTTCCTGAATTAGCTACTTCTCACAACAGTGTATGGATCAGCTGTGCACTCCCTGAGCCCAGGGAATGGGGAAGAATTGTCCCCTGAGTGCCAGCGACAGCCAAGAAAGGTCTGCAGAATAGCTTTAGAGGTGAAAAGGGGGCTTCTCAGGCCTGCAAAAATAGCCTGTTCTGACTAGGAAGGGGAAAACAAGGATTCACTCTGAGTTTAGGAATTTAACCAAAGACACAAAGAAGTAGTTAGAGATGAGCCAAAACTAGAGCTAATTTTTTGCCTTCCTCTCAGACCTTTTTTACTTAATAGAGTAACAATATATTAATTTCAGGTGTACAACATAATTTGATATTTGTGTATATTGCACATAGTTAACAAGTTTTTTCTATAATGGAAAACTTTTTTGGGGGGGAGGGGCAGAGAGAGAGAGAATATTTTAAGCAGGCTCCACCCCCCAGCACAGAGCAAAATGCCAGGCTCAGTCTCACAACCCTGAGCTCATGACCTGAGCCAAAATTAAGAGTCTGACACTCAACTGACTGAGTTACCCAGGCACCCCTATAATGAGAACTTTTAAGATATACTCTTAGTAACATCCAAGTATATAATACAATATTTTTAACTATAGTCACCGTGCTGTATATTTCATCCCCGGAATTTATTTATTTTGTAACTGGAAGTTTGTGCCTTTGGTAACCTTCACTCATTTTGCTTCCCCCCACCCCCCAAATCTAGCAACCACCAGTCGGTTCTCTGTATCTGTGGGTCTGTGTTTTGTTTTGTTTTTAGATTCTACATAAAAGTATTTTTCTTTGACTGGTTTCACTTAGTATAATGTACATAAAGGTTCATCCACATCATCCCAGATGGCAAGATTTCCTTATTTTTATGGCTGACTAGTATTCCATTTTGTGTATATATACCACATTTTCTTTATCCATGCATCCATCGATGGACACTCAGTTTGCTTCCATGGCTTGGCTGTTGTAAACAATGCTACAGGGGTGCCTAGGTGGCTCAGATGGTTAAGCGTCTGCCTTCGGCTCAGGGCATGATCTCCAGATCCTGGGATCAAGCCCCATGTTGGGCTCCCAGCTCAGTGGAGAGTCTGCTTCTCCCTCTCCTTTTGCCTATCCCCCTGCTGTGCTCTCTCTGTCTCTGTCTCTCTCTCTCAAATGAATAAACAAAATCTTAAAAAAAATGATACAGTGGACATGAGTGTATATATATCTTTGTGAGTTAGTGTTTCTATTTCCTTTGGGTAAGTTACTCAGAAGTAGAATTGTCACACTGAAAACTGCAGCCTGAGATATTTTGTAGGCTAAACGCACTTGAAATTGTTGATCATCTTGCTATAAATTCCCTGCAGTGCTTGCCAGAACAGGCCCAAACCCACAAAGTAATGAGGCCTTTGAATGCTTTTAGAATGCCCAACAGGATTTAAGGAATTACTCTCTTTTTCATAATTGTATCTAAATTATTTAATTAATTAGAGGGGAAATTTTTTTGTTAAATTAGTTGTTCCTTGGTTATATTTATCTTGATTGACATCCAACGTAAACAGGGTCTGTCCATTGCATTGTAAATCTGATGAAGTTATCAGCTATGTCAAAGTGAGTCCAAAACCAAATATATGTCTATTCTTAAAGTAAATGAAATTCTGAGCTCAGGACTTTGGTGATGGCACACTCAATAACCACACAGCATCATAGGTTTTCCATCTACTTAGGTTCTAGTGAGTACTGAAGAAAAATTTCCCCAGTGAGATCCAACCTCCTTTATTTTGCCAGTGAACTTTGATTATGAAAATGACTGTTTAATATGGTGGGGGCCAGTTGTAATACCACATCTAAGGGTAGGTTAGGTGATGGGGATGTGGAATTTCTGTTTATTCATAATTCATAAATCATAGTCAAAGAGAACCTTGCCTTAAGATTCGGCAAGTGGTCTTTCTGCCGGTAGTCTTGTCAATAAAGAAAGGCGCAAAGATATAAATGCTTAGTGAGAAGTTAGAAGAGTAATCTGAAGGAAAAAGAAAGTTCCCAAATGGAAATCATGTGCCAGTACTGCTTTGGTTCCAAGTAAAAGGCTGAGAAACACTCACTGGATTTAATTATGGGGGAATAACTCATCTTAACAAGATTTATTAACGTGGAAATCGTAAGTGATTTTGTAAGTCAAAGTGAGGGAATGTGAAGAAACTCTTAACTATGTACTGTTTCTTCAAGTTCATTTCGGTCATGTGTCAGCAACTAGATATAAATTGGTTTAGAGGAGGTTTTTCCTAGAGGAATGGAGAGACTAAATGAGTTTAAGGAGATGAATGGGGAAATGATGAAGGGGTTACTGGTAAAAAGCAGTTTGGTTTATAATCAATAACATACAATATTTGAGGGAGGAGGAAAGAAGGAGATACAATTGGAGAAGTTGGATTTAATTAGGAATAAGATTACTTTTCAGTTTTTACAAGAGCAGATATACTGATGGGTTGGAAATCAGGAATAATTATAGTTTTCTTGCCAGTGAGCTGAAATATTTCTTCAAATTATCAGGTTCATCTCTGCAGTAGGAAGTGAAACCATTTTTGAAAACTAAGAGAAAAGGTGAGAATTTGTGAGATTAGAAAATTAGAAAAGGGGGGGCACCTGGATGGCTCATTTGTTAAGCATCTGCCTTCTGCTCAGGTCATGATTCCAGGGTCCTGGGATCGAGCCCCGCATCGGGCTCCCTGCTCGGCAGGAAGCCTGCTTCTCCCTCTCCCACTCCCCCTGCTTGTGTTCCCTCTCTCGCTGTGTCTCTCTTTGTCAAATAAATAAATAAAATCTTTTTAAAAATAATAAATTTTTAAAAAAGAAAAAAATTAGAAAGGCACAGGGAATATTAACATATTAATGAAGCATAGCAAAGTGAATGTTAAGCCAAAGTTGGATGCCAGATAGTTAGAAAAAGCTTTTGGGAGATTTGTGACTCTGTAATTAGACCAGCTCAGTACTTCATTCTGAGCTGTGACAGATGGAGCCAAGGGGAAGGTGAGAAATTGGCATCATCTAGGATTGGGGTTTTGATTAGCAGATGTTGGGAAGGACTAAGGGGCATTACAGTTGTTGGTCTTGGTGTGTATGTGTTGGAATGAGTAAGTGTATGTTATACTGATCAGTAGAAATTACATGTGGGGGCTGAATTTGGAAATTGGGGTCACTGAACTAAAGGTTCCCATGTAGTAGGAGATCCTGAACATGGGGAGAAATCATGTGAACAGGCTGAAAGGAGGAGGTTTTGAGGGAGGAGTCTCCGGTCATGGATCTGACTGGAGAGATATGCAGGTAAAACTGGTTCCGGAGTCTAGTGTCCTTCAAGATGAAATTCTTTAGTTATTTGACATTCAGAAACGGGCAGAGCTAATTTTAAATTCTAGCTGTCAATTTTTAGCCATGTAGTTTTGTCATATAGTTTTTTGAACCTAGCGCACATCACTCAAATGTGTAAGTAATCCCTAAAGGCAGGATTATTATTCGGTATTAAGTGCAATGTATGTCAGCATGTATGTAAATTCCACTCACAGAGTCTCAATACCAGTAGTTTTTTTTCTCTTTCCAGGTCCTCAAATTCAGTGGGCTTTAATCATATCCTGTTCTTGACACATTATCAGTGTTTGTTGATGTAGTATATTTATTTATAAACATTGTTTGAGGTAGTACTGTAGAGGTAACAAATTCTTTTATATACTTAAATTATGAAATGCAGATATAATCTTGTTGATAAAAATAACTGGAACTCCAGGCCCCAAGAAGTCAATAAATTACCTCTAAAACTAAACCTCTTTGCTCTATATTTTATGAGCTTGTCTGCTCTGTGGGGATTAGGTAGCAATCCTTAATGTGTAGCATTATGACATATGTACTCCTGCTTCTTTCTTGTGCAAGGGATTTTATGTTCTAGACTTACATGATGAAAGTCACTGAACACATGAGCAAGGGTTGGGTCTTTGAAATGTCCAGCCCAACTTTATGGTTGCTAGGCCATATATCCAAGGCCATGAGTTATACAGTTGGGTTGAGGCACTAACACTGCCTGAATCCCACATATGGAGGAGCCAAGGTGACTGAGGGCAGGTGTTGCTTGAGGGATAGCATGGGGCATTCATGAGCTGAGATGGGTGTTGGAAAACAATGCTAGTGGACTTCACCCAAAAATGATAAAATACGAAATTCCAAAATGGTGTCCTGAGTTATCAATACAAGAATCTCCATGTGACAGGAGTCAGGTTCTCCTCTAAGATTTTGGTGCCAGGGATGTAAATTAGTAGGACCTCTGAATACCAAGTCTAATTAAATGACACCTCTAAGCTTTTGGTATCTTTTTAATGGGGATATTAATAACTTCTTTATGAGCATAATAAGAAAAGACTTCTTATTGTTGATTCTTGGAGAGGGGAGCCCCCTCCCTGTTTGTCTTTATTTACTCTGCAGGTACATGTGAGTTGGACTATGGGCAGGAGTCACTACCATAGGAAGATTTGCAGATTAAAGATGGGCATATCTAGGAATATTGGAAAAGACAAGTCTCATGGGTTCTTTCTCTTTCCTCAGCTTTGTCTGCTTAGTTATTGGACTGTCCCTTGGTGAGAATACACAGGAAGAAAGGGGCAACTGAGTACTAGACAATGCAACCACAGGTGAGTAGGACTTGTTCTTTCTCATGGATACCTGTTTTTCTAGAGGATGAGCAGATTTATCTTCATGGCCTGGATCTTCTTTGTGCCTCCATGAAATATTAGTGTCAGTCCCACTTCATCAGGAAGGCTTATGGCAGGTCAGGGTTTGATCGAGAAATAATCTGATACCCGTATTACTCTATTCCATCCCCCATCCCCTTAAGGATATTCTTGCAGAAAAGTTATTTCTTCTCATCCATCCCATGGCCCCAGCTGAGAAGTGACTCACTCATTAATCAGGTTAGTGTCTGCAGTGGGTTTAGGCCTGTGGTGAACACAGGTGATAGAAATGAGAACAAGCAGAAACTTATAGTCCTGTGGGGAGGCAGAGCTTCCTTCAGGTGAGTTCAGTCCATCCAGGGTTTTAGATGCTACAGAGGAGGGCTCTGCAGCATTGAGACTGGGGGTCGGGAGAAGAGATCAGTGAGGAATCATTTATTTTCCCCAATTTTAAACCTACTAAAGTTTTTATAGAATATGCTTGAACATTTTAATAACTTAAAGAAAAATTCTCCTTACCACTCTTATTCCCAACAACTCAATTTCCCTCTTTGTAATTAAACTTTGTTCAAATTTGAAAACAAAGAAATGTCTGCTGAGTATTGTTTTCCTAATGTGGGCAGTGCATTGAGAAGGATTATAATGGAATAAAACCTAGGGTCCTGTAGCAAATTTTGCAGGACTGGAAAGATCAGGTTTAATTGAGAGGCTGATGATAGTGATAAACAGTACTTGGAGGTGCCCAAGAAGATTGAAATGGTGGGGCAGGCTAGAATATTCCCTGTGTACAACAGTCTTAGGGCCCCTGGAGTTTTGCTTCTGGACTGTATGTCTTAAGTCTTTTTTTTTTTTTTAAGATTTTATTTATTTGACAGAGAGAGACACAGCGAGAGAGGGAACACAAGCAGGGGGAGTGGGAGAGGGAGAAGCAGGCTCCCCGCCGAGCAGGGAGCCCGATGCGGGGCTCGATCCCAGGACCCTGGGACCATGACCTGAGCTGAAGGCAGACGCTTAATGATTGAGCCACCCAGGTGCCCCTGTATGTCTTAAGTCTTATCATGAACATGTGTGTTGTGTAGAGATTGGCAAGGCCACACTTGCTTATCCAAGTCGTGTAGGAGCCCCATTCAGTCCTGCAGGAAGTTGGGCAGTGCCGTGCCCTGGGTATTTCCACCACACCTCATAATCATTTGTAATGGAGTTATGTTTACAAAGTGTGTATATTTCTGTGAGTCTGTGTGAAAGACCCATGATGAGGCAGCATAGAGAAACATTTGACTGGGACCCCAGGCAGGGTTTGAGCCTTCTGTGTATACAGCAACTCATCCTCAGCACCGTCATGTCCAGTGTACTCTCATGGCTCTTGGGAGGCAAGGCCCTGGCTGCATCAAAATATCTGATGTTTTAGGAATCAGTGACCTTCAAGGATATAGCTGTAGACTTCACCCAGGAAGAGTGGGCCCTGCTGGACACATCCCAGAGAAAGCTGTACAGAGATGTGATGCTGGAGAACATCAGTCATCTGGTCTCTGTGGGTGAGTCTGTCAACATTAATGTATTTATTCAGCAAGTATCCAGCTTTCACATATCCCCCCTCCCCTCTCAGCCCTTATTCAAATTCTTTCATGGTTCTTAAAACTACTTGAATGCAATTCATTTATTTACTTACACATATTTTGTCACCCCAAAAGAATATATAGTTTTCCTGGCCCCTCTTTCATGTCTTTCTTGCTTCTGGACCTCCCATGCCCAGGACTGTGCTGGGAATTCAGTGAATATTTTAAATGAATGAAAGCACTAAATATTACTAAATAACTATTCTCCCTATACTCAGTTGGCAATTAAAGATCCATTTGTGCAAATTATACCTATTATCTATTTCTAAAGAAAAATCAAGTGTTCTGGTGCAGTTTCTGTGTACCTAATTTTTTAAAAAATTAATTTCAGCCTACTGTGGAAACATATAATTACTCCTTTGTTGAAAACACTAAAGATTGTTCACTCTGTCTTTGACCTTGGTCCTGCACATCAACAACAAGAAAATCTACCTGGGTTGGCATAGTGTCAGGATGTTCTTTCTGCCCTGGTGAAGGACTTTACTATTTTCAGTGTTCAAGGTGCTCTTCCCTGGGCTCTCCTTCACTATTCACCTTCTTTTGCCTTGGTATTCTGCCCTAAAATTAAAGAGCGTTCATGTTTCTCTGCATAGAATCTAAAATCAATACACCTTTTACTCCCCAAAAACAGGGTATCATCTCTGCAAATCAGATGTGATTTCCCAGTTGGAACAAGGAGTGGAGCTGTGGAGGGAGGGAAGAGGATTTCCCCAAGGCCCGAATCCAGGTGAGCTCCAGGTTGTGTGTGCACAGTGCCAGGAAGGTCCTGTTATGGGGAGAGCAGGACCAGGGGAATGTCAATCTTATTTCAATCCTGAAAACACTTCATAATCTTCACTTTCTTGAAGTACATTTCAACTCACTGATACATTCCTTCTTTTCACATTTTTCCCCTGTGTAAGGGTCAGTATTTGAAACCTACACAGGCCTTGCATATTTTCACAGTTTTCATCCTATCATCCACACTAGCAGTTCATTTTGTTTCTATTACTTTAGACAGGAAAAGTGGTCTTAAGAGACAAGAAGACATCTGCAGAAAGGACCCATCTAATTGCATGTCAATGGTAAGTTTCAAGGGGGTGAACCCTTCCTCAACAGTAAAGACATGGGAGCCAACAGATTTTAGAACACAGCACAGGACTGTGATTTCAGTTGGGCATAAATGCTGCCTCAGCAGAAAGCTTTGGGTGGTTTGAATTAGGGAGAAAATCAAGATGTTGCTCAAAGCTATCACCTGCGTTCTTATAAAAGGACAGCCACATAAACATGGCTCATGCAGCTAGTCTATGAAACTAATGAAATCTTTAAAGTAAATCTGATAGTTTTGCAGTTGAGGTGTTATGAAAAAGGAAATCTCTTTGTATTGTAGAAAATAACATGCATGGCCTGTATAAACAGGGAAGATGCTAACAGGAGATGTTCACTGCATGATCAAAGTAGGAGTCATGTAGAGAAATTAATGTATATCAGAAATTCTTTAACAGCCTCTCATCTCCTTGAAACAGCAGTGATCTTACACTGGAAAGGATTTCTATGAATATAATGAATGTGGGGAGGTTTTCACTTACAGATCCACAGTGACTCAACATGTGCTAACTCACATGTAGGGAACCCTATAAAAGTAAGGAATGTGGGAAGGAGTTCCACCAGAGCACTCAGCTTTCTATACACAAAAGGAGACACACCAGAGAAAAACTCTACAAAGGTAGTGAACGTGGGAAATGCTTCATCCAGAAGGCTATTTTTTACTCACACCAAAGAATCCACACAGGAGAGAAACCTTATAAATGTAAGGAATGTGGGGAAAGAGTCCATCGGAGCACTCTGCTTTATATACACCAGAGAACTCATACTGGAGAGAAACCTTATGAATGTCATGAATGTGGGAAACACTTCAGGCAAAGCACTAACTTACATTCACACCAAAGAACTCACACAGGAGAGAAACCCTATAAATGTCATGAACGTGGGAAGGGATTCCATCAGAGCACTCAGCTTGTATGTACACCAGAGAACACACACCAGAGAGAGACCTTGTAAATAAATGCCATGAATGTGGGAAATACTTCAGCCAGAATGCTAATTTATATTCACACAAAAGAACTCACAAGGGAGAGAAATCCTACATCTGTGATAAATGTAGAAAAGGTTTCTATCATCCTTCCTCCTTTAGTCAACATAAAAGAAGTCACACTGAAGAAAAACCATAGGAAATTTTTAGTCAAAACTCCAGCTTTAAAGAGCATGAGCAATTTTATACCGGAGAGGAGCCCTGTATATGAAATGAATGTGTCCAGAATGCTCAGTAAATGTCTTACCCTTTAGTTAAAATAATCACATAGAATGGAAAAGCCTTCATCATTCTCTGACCTTAGTTCACATGAAAGAACCCATATTATAAATATAAGGAAAAACGGTCCTCACATTCTGCTCTAACAGACACCAGAGGCTCACGTAGGGAGAGATTGTATGTGTACAGTCCCGCACCTTCATGGCGTGCCTTCATTTATAATTTACCCTTTAAGCACCATGAGCAAACTCTACAGCAGAAACTACAAACTCTATCGAGAGTCCTGAAATCCACACTTCAGAATGTTCAGGACTTTGGCAAGTCCTGAACTATTATAATAGTAAGTTCATTATTACATTATTTATAATGTAAGATGAAAATAGAGATTTGTAGATTTGTGCTGTGATCCGGGAATGTTTAGTGAAGAATTTGTAACAATTGATAAAACATTAAATTATTTCAATAGATTAGTACTTGAAATCAGTAAAGGTTGTGCCTCAAAAGTCTAATAATGTTGTTCAGTTTATATTTTTATGCAGCTTTAACCATAATTACAAGACTTGAGTCAGTCACAAAATAACTGAAATAACCTGGAAGGTCATAATACAAAATAATGTGATTTAAATATTATATCAGTGTTTAAACATATACATCTGTGGTATAAATTAATACGAACATGGAAGAATAAACATTTGGTTTATGAATAAAGTCCATTGTTAAAATAATATTCCTCTTTTTGAAATGTCCAGCCTGTTCACATTTCCCTAGCTGCACAGCCACAGTCATTCCTATCTGAACAGGTGGGAGGGAAAGATGGGGAATGGGAAGCCTGAAGACCAGGGCCCCAGTGGACTAGGAAGAAAATGGGGCAGACGGAGAAATGAGTGCATGTGGGGGAGGAGGCAAGTACATGGCTGGCATCTGAGGCACAGGTGATGTTGGAGCAGGGATAGATTGAAGGAAGCATTTGGGGACCTTAGGGATTGACAAAAGCAGAAAGGAGGGAAAGGAATAGGAACCAAATCACTTAATGAGGAGGCCGAAGGGGGCGTGTGGAGGTGGACTCAAGGTCATAGAGAGGCCACACCACCTGAAGTGACTTGAGCAGAAGAACAGGGCTTTGGGACAGGTACTGGTGATCCAGGATGTGCACAGGCCTCAGGAAGAGGGTTCAGCTAAGGAGGGTTAATGTAGGTTAAAGAACAGGATGGGGGAGTACAGGGTACACTGAGGGGACATAGGGGTCCTGATTGAGATGAGGGGTTGGGACCATGGTAGAGGGTGTGGGTGGAATCTAAGACTTTTTCTTCTCTCCCAGTGCTTTCTTAAAGCTCCAAGCAGTTAATCCATATAAATTAGAACCTCAGACTCTCTGGGTAATTTTGCTAGGCAATATTCTAAGTTTGCCCCCAAGATTATATCCCTTGGGGTTCACACCTGTATAATTTCCTCCCTTTGCTTCTGTTCTGAACCTTTGGATGTGATGGAATATCATTCTCCTCATTATATGGCAATGGTGCTGGGGTTTTGCAGATGTCATTAAGATCCCTAATTGGTTAATTATAAGATAATCACAGGGGCGTTTTTCCAGAATAAGCATAACCTAATCAGGTGAGCCATTTTGAAGGGGATCTGCAGGTCAGAAACAAGAGGATGTCAGATGTGAAACCAGAGACAGTCTGCTGCTGGCCTTGAAAAAGCAAAGGGAGGATAAGCAATAAATGTAACCACCAGGGAGTGGAGAGGAGTATTGAGGAAGTGGTAGGAGGACGCTTTCTGAGAATACCCTTTGTATGGTTTTGGTTTGGGAACAACCATGAAATTAAAGTCAACAAGAATGAGTGGGAAAAAATTGAAAAAAATGGGCCTAACTTTGTATCAAATAACTACCATAATCACAAAATAAATTCAACTAACTTTTTAACACATTGTTTTTACTATATACACTTAAGTGATATACAAAAATATTTGCAAATTATCCTTATGCCTACTTGATTTTTTTTTTTTGCAGTGGTGTGAGTGTAGCAATTTTTGAAGTATTTTTGTGTATCATATGACTGAGTATGTGGTTAAATATATTTAGGTTGTTCAGCCAAAGTTTTACTTGGTAATGGAAAATGGAGACACAAATACTTGAGGAAGGAGAAGATAAGTCTCAGGATGTTGGATTGGAAATAGTCTTAACATGAATTAATGATGTGTGTGCTTGTGCTTCCTCATCCTGTCCTCTGAAAGGGCCTAGAAGCAGGGACACCTCAGTTGCAATGACAAATACCACTCAAATACTGGGTTTCTAAATTTCATTCTCAGTAATAGGAACTAGGCTTCCTTGGAGGAAGGACTGATTGAGGCAGGGAAATACACGATTGGTATTGAGGAGGGAAAGTATCTAAGGTATCTTTTGCTGGAAAGTAAGGAAGTACTCACAAAAGGAGAGGTAGGTAAAAAGGAAATGGGGCAGATCAGAGGGGCCCCTTTGGCCACATTTGGGACAACCATATCATTAAAATAAAGAATAAAAATAATGGATTTTTAGCACATTGAAAGATTAACATACTCGTACATGTACATGCCTCTATATGTGGAGGGAAATGAAAACACTCTAAAGAGTGGAAACCAACTAAAAGCAGAGGGAATGGTAGGAAAAACATCACCACTTGAAACCACCATAGTGAAAGGTTAACATTAGGTAAACAGTTAAAGCATGTAATTGAAGTTTTTGCCATCCATGAAAAAGTTAACATCATAATGAAAAGCATTGACATCCTGTAGCTCCTGGTGTAAATCACTGAGAAAGACCAAACACCGCTGTGTAGTGTTCCTGAAAAATGAAAGAAAAAAAAAAAAAGAATGGCGACAATACATGAACTAAATCTCACAATAAGAAAACAGAAGGAAATACCATTTTGGGGAATTGTGGTAAACAACTGGCTTAAACTCTACAAAAATGACAATTTCATGGAAGACAAAACTGAAACATGTTCTAGAACACAGGAAAGTATCAAGATAAGACAGCAAAAAGCAATGTATGGTCCAGAATAGGATCCTAGAGAGTAGAAAATATTTAATAGCACCAAAAAGAATAAAATACTGAAAATATATTTAACATAGGTAGATCTGCACTCTGAAAACAACAAAATATTTTGAAAGAAATGAAATATACCATAAAAAAGTGCTTATGGAATGAAAGTGATTATGGATTTGAAGACTTAATATTAAATGGCAGTACTCCCAGATTGACCTGCAGATTTGGTGTAATCTGTATCACAAGTCCAGCTGACCATAAAAATGTATGTTGAAGTGCAAGGACCCAGAATAAACAAAACAACCTTGAAAGGAAAAATTAAATTGAGTAGTCATATGTCTTGCTTTCAGATCTTACCACAAAGTACATTAATCACGACTGTAGTACTAGAATAAGAATAGACTTTTAGATAAGTGGACTAGAATTGAGAGTTCAGAAATAAATCCTCATACTTAACAGTCAATTTATTTTTGACAATGGTGCCAAGAATATTCAATGGGAGCTATAATAGTTATTTTAACAAATGGTACTGGAGCAACTGGGCATCCACATACAAAGAAAAGAAATGGTACCCCATGTAACATATTAAAAAAAAAAAACCCTCAAATGGGTAAAATAGCTAAATATAAAAGCTAACATCACAAAACTCTTGAGAGAAAACAAAGACATAAGTGTTTGTGTTCTTGGGGGCACCTGGCTGGCTCAGAATAGTGTGTGACTTGATCTCAGAGTCATGAGTTCAAGCCCCACGTTGGGTGTAAAGATTACTAAAAAATAAAAATAAATAAAAAATAAATATATATATATATATGCAAATATTTGTGTTCTTGGATTTGGCAATACCAAAGCACATGCAACCAAAAAAAAAAATAGATAAATTGGGTTCATCAAAATGAAAATGTTTGTGCTTCAGAGGACACTAACAAAGTTTAAAGACTTCCCACACAATGGGAGAAAATAATTGCAAATCAAAGATCTGAAGAGAGCATAGTATCCGGAATGTGTAAAGAATTCTTACAACTCAAAAATTGTCGAAATAATAATCCAAATTTGAAAACAGGCAAAAAAAAAACTTGAATAGATCTTTTTCCGATCTAAAAGTGACCAGTAAGAATACAAAAAGAAGCTCAGCATCATTATTTATTCGGGAAATGCGAATCAGAACTACGGTGAGATAACCTCCATGCTGCCGCTGGGATGGCTGATACAAGACAGATGGTGAGCAAGTGAGAGGGCATGGAGAACCGGAACTCATGCACTCCAGGTAGGAATGTAAAATGCTGCAGCTGATTGGGAAAGCAGACTGGCATGGCAGTCCCTCAAAAAGGTAGTTGCCATATAGTCAGCAGTGCGGTTTCTACTCACATATCCATAATTGAGAACATACATTCACACAAAAATGTATATGTGAGTGTTCTTAACAGTTTCATAGAACCAAAAAGTGGAAACAACCTAAATGTCCATAAATTGATGATTGAATCAGCAAAATGTGCCATATTCATACAATGGAATGTTAACTCAGCTATTAAAACAAGAATGAAATGCTGAGGGGCGCCTGGGTGCTCAGTTGGTTAAGCGACTGCCTTTAGCTCGGGTCATAATCCCAGGGTCCTGGGATCGAGCCCCAGGGTCGGGCTTCCTGCTCTGCAGGGGGCCTGCTTCTCCCTCTCCCTCTGCCTGCCGTTCCCCCTGCTTGTGCTCTCTCGCTATCAAATAAAATTTTAAAAAAGTGAAATGCTGAGTGTGTTCTCCTTTACTGATGAGCCTTGAAAGCATTATATTAAGTGAAAGATGCCAGACACGGAAGATACATACCATGTACTTCAGTGCGTATGAAATGTCCAGATAGGCAGGTCCACAGAGACGGAGTGGTTGCCAGGGACTGGGAGGAGGGGGGAATAACTAATGACTGCTAATGGGCACAGGGTTTCTTGGGGGATGATAAAAATGTTCTGTAATTAGTGATGATGCTCACAGAGGCTTGTGAATATACTAAAAAAAAAATGAATTTTTTCGCCAAAAAAGGGTCAATTTTATGGAATGTGAATTGTATCTCAATTGAAAACGATGACACCAGCTAAAGAACCAGAATCCTGAGGTGACATGTGTCCTGTGATGGAAGGAGATATAAACTCAGAGCTGGGAGAGCTCCACGGGATACAGAATGTCCCTGTGGCTGCAGACAGAAGCGTGGAGCCCTCAGCTTGCCCCTGGATTTGGGGCCCAGGAACCTCAAGGCAGCAGTCTTGGCCCTCTGCATCCAGCCTTGCCCTCCTAATTATAGGAGTATATTTCAGGGGATCCCTAAAGAGTTACTTCTCTCCTTCTTGAAATCATTTCTGATTTTTCTCTAGATGCTCCTCCTCACAAATGTGAGAAATGAGTAAAATAGGAGGCAACCCTGAACTCCTTTCCTTGGCCTGTTTCCTTTAGTTGTTGGCCAGAGGGGCGCACAGCACCAGAGAGGAAGGTCGTAATTTCATGATGTGTGGAATTTGGGTGGAAGATGTTTAAAACATTGGCATCTTTTATGTGATTGGCTACCAAATGTAGAAGTAGTCATGACACAGCTTTTGGCTGCTTTCTTGTGGAAGGTGCACATCTAATTCTGCAGAAATATGATATGGATGCAAGCAGAGCCTCAACAGTTCGATAGAAATGTGACTCATCCATCTGTCACCTCAACCACAGGCAGCTGCTTCGAGGTTCCCTTTCTTGGCTCTCTTAGAACCCCATCCCCGACTCCATGGGTGCAGTTGGAATTGCCCCTGACTTGAGATTAGGCAGAAAATGTAACAGAGGACTGAGGATGGGGAGGGAAGACCGTGAGCAGGAGCCACAGCCCCCAGAAGAGTCCAGTTTCCTCTCTGTCCGCCGACACTGTGATGTCTTAGCATCTGCCTCACTGAGTTGTGCCTCGGTGGATGGGGATCTGAGGGCCAGACACAACCACAAACACCTTTACTCCTGTCACTCCAGGGCTCCAGCTAGTGATGGCAGCTTCTCTTCCCTGTTCCATGTGTTTGCACTCTTGCTCACACACACATCCACAACCAGCAGTGTCTCTGGGCTCCACAACAGCTGGAAGTCTGTGTACCAGTCCTCACTGGGACTTCCAGTTCAGCGTATAGATCTTGCGTTGTGGAATTATGTTTGAACTTTGAGAACACAGGTTCAGGTTTGTAAAAATATCTACGCCTTTATATACATGCATATGTTCATATTGTTAGGGATCTCTCACTAAAGACTATCAGGAACATGCCTGCAATTGAAGAAAAAATGGATTCATTACTCCTTTCATCTAGAGACAAGTTTCAAAATGGAACTTTAGAATATTTTACTAAGAAGGTGTTAGAAGGACCTTATTTTCACTTGTGTTAGTTGATTTTGGGAATAAAAGAAGCAGTGATTTGATCTAGATTATTTGCTTTCAGAAAGCAGGGATAATTGTTTAATTGGTGTCTTATGAAATCTCTCTGTGGAGGTATGAATAGAATAAGACTACAGCTCTGATTTGTAAAGAAACAGTCGTATATAGGCTGGGAGAGGGGTGTGGTTGGTATTTTGTGGCTTGGATGATGTTCATATTTTGAACATGATAACTGGGTGGATTTGTCTTTCTCCTGATCCATCATGGTCACATAATGGCCTTAAATGATGTCGATGTTCTGTGCAATTGCTTATGTTCACCAGGAGCACACCAAGACCTAGCAGACGATACCAGACCAGTTTATGGATGACATGGTTTGCTTTTACCTTCCTTATACAATTTAAAGAGAAGTAGGGGCAGAGGTGAGCTGGAGCATTCAGGGTATTTGTTCTGGACTCTAGGTCTATAAAAACAGAAGTGGAAAATAACCTGACAGAAAATAATGGAGCCATGTGAGCCTGACAGTAGGAGGAAGGGAGCTGGGCTTGGTGTTACAGTGACCTTCAGCAAAGGGACAAGCCGGTGTCCAAGCAGCCAGTGGATGATCCTTCCCCAGTGTCTCCTGAAGTCGGTCCCTCACCTTCCCTTGTATCAAGAACAGGTGTCAGCTTGCCCCCTACCCTCCAGCTCTACTCTACCCACACACTCTGCATCCAGCTCCATCCCAGAAACTGCTTAAAATGCCAGCCCTGTAGGATTTAAGGCTGGTAAGTGTTGAGACTCCCTCATTGCCAGATGCCGACTTGGAGAGGGTGACAGGTAGAAAGACTGAGCAGTGATCCACACTCATGTGTCACAGTGACTCCCCAATGTCACATTTGAGAATATGCCAAATAGTGAATTGATAAAAAGTAAAGATTTCTTCCATGAAAATAATTTTGTATGGAACATTCATGACAGTGAAAGGTATTTGAAATTTTTATTTTTTTATTTTAAATGTTTTTATATTTAAATTTTACTAAAAACCTTGGCTTTTATTCTGAAAATTGATGTGTAAACTGTACAATGTGGCAGAATTAAATGACACTGCACCTTGGCCCCAACTGGGGAGGGCCCATAAACAAGTGTTTGTGGGCACGTTCATGACACATACTTGGGATGCTAAACTGACTCAGAGATCGCTCTTCTGAGCTCAGTGGGCTGAATCTCCTAGAGAAAAGTTGTATCAAAGGTCTACATTTATCTTCGTGAAGCTACTTTTTCTCCTGCTTTGGTGGGGGATCAATGGTAATTTTCTCCTTCAATTAGACAAACCTTCTTTCTGTTTCCTAAACTTCTCTAGCTTTTTAATTCGGGAGAATAACAAGGGAAGATATGAGTAATTACTAAATTCTACTGAATGATCCCTGTAGCATAATACAGGAATGTAATGGTATTGTTATTGTCACTATTAAGTAGGAATTATTGTATTTTAGATATATATTAAAGGTTGATTTTAGAAATCTGTTAAATCTTGGTTTTTAGAGAACTAGGGTAGTGGAAAAATATAAATATCTCTCTTAATTTATGTGTGATGTCTATTGATCCATGTGATAATATGTGGATTCTTACGTTCCTGTCATAAAGAATAAAATAATTCTATTTTAAACTCTATCTTAGGGTCTGTTATCTGGCCACATTTCACTACAAAACTGTGAATGTTTAAGGAAACTTTTCCAAAACAACTAAAATTGAATAATTGCAATTATTATGAAATTTGAAATCAGTATAAACATGTTTTTACAGCATAGGCTAAATGTTGATTAAAATAATCTAGTGGATAGTAACTTGAATATTCAAATAAAGTACTCTTTACCAGAAAATGGTATATTTACAGTATGCCATAGGGTGAACCACTTAACATTTCAAGTGAGAACATTAACCAATATCAGGAATTCTTCATAAATATAAAGTGAATAATAATGATTTTATTATGTGGAAAATGAAAGGACATTATAACTTCCAGATATTCCATTCTTTTGAAAATACACAGTTTTTAAAAAGTTAATCAGCACAGGATTTTTAGGGCAGTTAAAATATTCTGAATGATGTTGTAATGATGGATTTATGTCATTAAATATTTGTCCAAACCCACAGAATGTACAACAGCAAGAGTGAACCTCGAGGTAAGCTGTGGGCTTTGGGTGATGATGTGTCAGTGTAGGTATACCTACCCCTCTGGAGAGGGAGACTGGGAGTGGGGGAGGGTGTGCGTGTGCACAGGCAGGCAGTAGATGGGAAATCTCTGTACCTTCCCATCAACTTTGTTGTGAACCTAAAACTGCCCTAAACAAATACTTAAAAAAAAAGTGAACCAGAAAATGCCAGCACTTTAAAAAACATCACTTTCTTTGTTGGCCAAACAGTTCCTCACATAGTTAACTTCTATATAAATATTTCTGAGAAACTTAGAAAACATTCTAATATTAAAGTTTTATTGGCATTATGTGTCATATCAAACTAATGTAAATTAGTAATGTAGAATATGTAAATAGTGCATCATAATTTTATATTAATTAAATTAAAAATACAATTATTTTTAGTAATTACTGAATAATTCAGTAGTAATAGTATAAGCACAGATTATATTGTGTTATTGAAATTGATACTTATATGTTTATCATTAGAATATTTCGTTATAATGTTTTCAGTAATTATATTATCAGTATTGCAGTTACTATATTTATTATTCAAATTCACCCTACCATTTTAATATTAAATGTTTTGTCATAGTTTAATTCTATCAAAATCTCATTGTTTTTTCTTTTGAATTTCAGACATGATTGTGGTCAGGCTATCATTGAACCCTGCTGTTCTGAAATCTGAGGGTTCCTACTGCCTGGGTGCTGCAGGAAAAAATGTAATTTTGTTTCACCTCAGTCATATTTGATTTCTAATATTTTAATGAAAACAGTTTTTAAAATGTAAAAATCCCTAAGAATATTCTCATCAGTAAATGCAATGCAAATAACTAACAGTTCTTGTTTAATCCAGCGATGCTTTTCAGAACTCTTCCATACACATGTAGTCATGAATAACCAGATGGTGACCTTTCTCTGGGCTACAGTTTTCCCCAAAGAACAGCTGTGCAATTTATCTTCAGGAACTAATAAGCAGAGTAAGGGATGCCTTTGCATTTTAAATGAATGTAGTGTTGATATTAATCACCCAGAGATTGCTTTCCTCCATGGAAAAGACTAGAAACTAGGTGATTGTTCTCCTTGCCATAGTTGAGACTGACATACTGAAACTAGGACTGGGCTGAGTACAGTGATAAGGAGGGCCATTGAGCGGTGGGTAAGGGAAACTCATGTACTCCAATGGCTTTTTCTGAGTCGGGAGCACCAGAACCAGTTTTGGAGACAGTTCTGCATGTCATTCAACATCTCATACGTTTAAATTTTAAGAATTTCCAGGTCTTATACATGTCTTGCAGAGGGAATCCCCAAAGGATTTTCTCCATGTGCATCTGTAGTGTGAGGTAATGGGACAGTAAAAAGTTGGTTCCTATGTGTCATCTGAGGACACAGAGCTAGTGACAGAGATGGTCACAGATGCGCAGTAATGAATGCACAATAAGAATGCAGTCTGTGAGAGAAATATTCTTAACCTGTCATTGTTGAGTTCACAGATCAGCTAGTGCCTTAGAGGGAGCCCCACTGCCTGTCCTCCCACAGCCTTAGCTGCGGTGTTAAGGGGATATGGGGTGGGCTGCTGGGAGGAGGGGACGAGCACCTCTCAGGGCTCCGAAGGTGGCCACAACCCTGAAACTACTCAATCTGCTTGGACGTTTTGTGGATAAACTAATCACATTTTACGGAGATGTTTAAAGCAGTGACAGCTCTAAGGGTGGTTTCCATTTCCTGTGGACAGTTCCCCAGTAACATGCAGAAACCTAGAAACCGGGTCCCTCATACAAGTGATGGGCTCTGGGAGAGAGACTGTTCAACCGCTGTTATATAAGCACCTGCCTCTAAAAGCTTTTAATACGATATATGGCAAGATCAGGAAAATGTTTTCCTTTGAAATTCTTCTCTGTTTTTCTTCTGGAGATGAAACAGCTAGATTTAAATTTGTATGACCATGCCCTTCTCTGAGTATGACAAAAAATAACTCTAGAAAGAAAAAACTGAGGGTTGACATCTACAAGATGGAGGGTTAGGAGGTCCCAGTGCCCATTTCTCCCACAAAAACCACAACTAACTACAAACTGGCAAAAACAGCTCTGAGAAAGCTGTGGACTATGACAGAGAAGTAGCAAAAGCCTTGCAGAGCTCAAAACCCAAGGATGGCTGCGTGAAAAGTTCAGGAAGCGTTCTAGCAGTGTAGCCTCTTTCCCCAGTCCAGACCAGCTCAGCAGCAGGAGGGGTCTGCCAGAGGAGTTCCACCCCGCGTGGAAAAGGGAAAGAGAACAAGCCTTACCACTGGGGACATTTGTGTCCTTTGCTACTGAATTCTCCCACGGTCTTCATCACAGCTGACCCCAGCTGCAGGGAGACCTGCCCCCAGGGGCTCCACTTGCTGCTCTGCCCCATTCCCCAGGACTGGGATGCGACACGCCTCACCATGTACAGTACTGAGCCCCTGTTGCCACTGTTCTGAGCCCCACCGATAGCAAAGCATCTTCCTCTGCCCTGTGCCCCACCCTTGATTCCCAAGTCACACTTCGACCAAGCATCACCCTTGGCCCTGCTGCCACTGCCCTGACACCCGCCCCCAGGCCTGGCCACAAATACTGTCATTCCCAATGCAGGCTAGGGCACAGTGAAACAGGTACTGTCATGCATTACTGCTAGACAAAAGAGAAAGCCTTTTTGACAGTAGTTCATGGAAATCAAGAGTTCAGTTCTGTGAGACAAATGCTGAGCTCCTTTTCTGTGCAAGGTATTGCTGTGTGCAGATGACAGAGGCCCACACTTACTCGCAGTGAGTGAGCATGCCCTGTGCGGGAGACGCAGGTAACTATCATTAGGAGGTGGATGGCAGAGACATCCACCACACGTAGTAAAGGCAGGAGTATGACCAGAGCTCGGCTTGAAGGGTTTGGAAGGATGATTTGAAGAAATGGTCCTGAGTGGAATCTTAAAACATGATTAGAATTTAGTTGAAGATGAGCAAGGAGAAAGAAGAGAAGAAGGGAAGGAGATCTCTGCAAAAGGAGCATGGACACAGGCAGGGTGTCTGTGAGGAGGGGGGACTGCAGTATCGAGTGTGAGGCAAAGTAGCCAGGTAGGAGGCTGCAGAAGGAACCCCCCCACCCCGAGCCCCTGCTTGGATAGCGTGGACTTCACCCCAGAGGCAGTGTGCGGTACAGACACACGGGAAGGACACCATTAGAGATGTATTTTTTTAAATCCCCGCATAAAAGTCACTGTGGTGTATTTCTCAAATTTAAAAAGTAACAGATGGAAACAAATGACCCAATTAAAAATTGGGCAAAGGACTTGAACATACATTTCTCCAAAGAAAATCTACAAACAGCCAATAACATGAAAAAATGCACAACATCACTAGTCATGAGGGACATTCAAATTAAAATGACCATGAGATACCACTTGGCAGCCATTAGGATGGCTTTTATTTTAAAAAAATAATAAATGTTGGTGAGGTTATGGGGAAACCAGAATCCTTGTGCATTGCCCACAGGGATGTAAATGGTATAAAATTTGCCCAGTGGAAAACACTTTGGTCGTTCCTTGAAAGTTTAAATGTAGAATTACCATATGAGCCAGCACTTCCACTCCCAGGTATATATCCCAAATAATTGAAAGCAGGGAGTCAGATACTTACACAGCAATGTTCATAGAAGCATTATTTGCAGTCAAAAAGTAGAAACAATCCAAATGTCCATCAACAACACATGAATAGATAAGCAAAATGTGGTATATACATGCAGTGGAATAGTATGCAGCCTTAAAAAGAAATGAAATTCTGACATATGTTACAACATGCGTAAGCCTTGAAAACATTTTACTAAGTGAAATCAACCAACCACAGAAGGACAAATACCATATGATTACATGAGGTACCTGTAGTAGTCAAATTCATAGACACAAAGTAGAACAGAGGTTACCAGAGGCTGGGGGGAGGTAGCAGGGAGTTTGGGATGAGGAAAAAGTTCTGGCATTGGATAGTGGTGATGGTTGCCCAACAATGTGAATGTAGTTAATGCCACTGAATTAGACACTTAAAAATGATTAGAATGGTAAGTTCTGTTACACATATTTTACCACAGTTATTTTTTTTAAAAAGAGAAAAGACTAATCTACAAACCGAAGGACAAAACGGATGGAGGATGCCTATAATTTGTGAAGGACATAGGGGTGGGGCACCCACGGTCAAGGTCAGAGACTACACTACTGCAGCCCTGACTCACAGCCCAGCAAAGAAGTCATGGTTTATGTCCATCACACAACTGGGAAGTGCTGTGTCTCCTGTTAACTCCAGTAACATAATTAAATAGTTGGTAGCACAGTGTTTGGCGTAAGTGTTGAGCTCTCATCAGAGACAGAGTGTGTGCCGTGGGACAGTGTAGGCAAGTGGTTTGGAAGTTTAAAAATCAATAGAAGCGTGTCCTATGATTTAGCATATCTATTCCTGGTTCAGTTCCAACAAAAATTCTTCCATATGGTCTCCAAAAGACATGTACAAGAATGCTCACTACAATAGTCACATCATGCCTGTTAACAAAAGATGGGTATGCAAATGTTGAATAGTCACCAAATGGAGTATTAAGCAGCAGTGTGAATTCATGATCTACAAATCGACCAGTGATCAGAACAAATTTAACAGACATAATGTGAAGCCAGACACAAAAGGGCACATGATCTGTAAATTCCAAATTTAAAGGACAATGTGAATCCATGCTGTCAGAAGTGGTGGAAAGGGCTACCTTTGGGGTGATACTGACCGACAGGGTGCACAGGGGTTGAGTGGCAGGTGCTGGTCATGTCTGCTTCTTAATCTGGTTTCCAGTTCCAGTGGATTCAGGTTGTGAAAATATATCACATGGATGGAACCGGAGGAGATTATGCTAAGTGAAATAAGTCAAGCAGAGAAAGACAATTATCATGTGGTCTCACTCATATGTGGAACATAAGGAACAGCAGGGAGGACCAGAGGGGAAGGGAGGGAAATCTGAAGGGGGAGAAATCAGAGAGGGAGACGAACCAGGAGGGACTCTGGACTCTGGGAACCAAGCTGACGGTTGCAGAGGGGAGGGGAAGGGGAGAGGGGGTAACAGGTGATGGGGATTAAAGAGGCACGTGATGTGATGAGCACTGGGTGTCATACGCAACTAATGAATCGTTGAACACATGAAAAACTAATGATGTATTATATGCTGGCTAGTTTAACAATAAAAAATTAAATTAAAAAATACATGGTGTTTAAATTTCAATAAAAATTTTTCAAAAAGTGGAAACAAGTTTTCAGAATGCTTTACAGAATTCAGTCGTGGCATGAGGTTGGAGACAGGGCTATAGAGTCTCTGGACATAAACCAGATCTAGCCAGGTGCACGCTGTGATGACCCTAACGATTGTCGGAGCACCAGGAGGACCCACGGAACAGGCCGCAGTGTCTCAGATTCACATGTGTTTGAACAAATAGCCAAGCCCTGAAGCAGACCACCTGTGATTTTTCTCCCCTACGTGGGCTTCTGGAGGGGGCCCGAGCTCTTCCCCTGGCTGCCTCCTCTTCTACTTGGGGGTTGTGTTGTGTAAAAGTCCATCCTGGTAAAAGGCAGTTCTAAGTGACTTTAGAAAATTTATTATCAAATTATTTTAGCAATTTCTAAATGGTTTTGATGTTTAAAATGGTAATGTTTTGTTGGTTTTGTTTAGGCTTCCTGAAATAAGGAACTTCTGAATTTTTTCAGTAATTTCTCTACTAAACTGTAGTCTCTCAGTAACTGGAGATCCGCCACACTGCTGGGGAGGGATCTTACGGTCTCCCCATTCTGTTTCTAGTTTCCACA